ATTATACCCACAATCTCAAACACAATGGTGAAAAACCCACCAAAAACTGATGGAATCCAGAGTGCTGGAAATACAACACAAATAATCAGAGTCCATAAGTTCACATATCAAACAAATATGGAAATGCTCACAGAAAAGTGTGAGTAAACAATTTGTTGACTATTAGTAACTTGTATGTCTACTTACAATGAAATGGCCTATAGAACGCTGCTCCACAACCCAAACCAAAGCAGATTGCATAAAAATGATAATATTTGTCTGAAAATGGTCAGAAGAATAGATAAAGAAAATTAAGACATATACTAAAGAAAAGTTTCGTTTATTTTATGGGCTCTGTGTGCTGCCACCCTCCACTAACTAAGACTGTGACGTTCTACATACAGTTACTGTAAAAGTCACCAGTGAGGTCCCTTCCATATTCCTGAAAGAGAAATATTATAATGATTTCTTTGTAAGAGACACATCCGCACCGATAGTTTGATTAATAAACTGAAAGTAAGTAGAGAGAGGAGGTGGAGTTGAAAGAATGAGGCTGAAAGCAAGAGAGAGCATATAGTATAATACAATATAGTTATATAGTGAAAAAGTGGATTACCATGACGACAGGTGGAAGAGCGTGGGAGCCAGACGACACAGGTGTACTTAACTCTGGCTTTAGGCTTATTCTGCAGGTGTAGCAACAGAGAAATATTTAAACGTCAGGGAGACAATTTCCTGAAGCCGGTCAAACCACTCTGCCAGGCAGTGAGGATGAACAAAGGTCAAGTCTCATATAACAACATTTGCTTTTATACTCATACTCTCATACTTGTGTATTAACACAATGTGTCTTCAGGCTTTAAGTGGCAGAGGCTCAAAGACAATGGAAAATCTTGAGACACCTTTCAGTATTACAACAGTACGGGTTCAATCAAGTATTTGATTAAAATATGTTGGAGCTGTAGATGAAAAGTCACAGTTTTTAATAACTGGAATATCATCAGCAATAACCTGAGAGTCCTAAGAAAAGAACACATCGATAACTTTTTAGCTTGAGTCCATAATTAAAGCCAGAAGCACCATCTTGCTGGTGTATGCATCCCTCTACTGGCCAGGTTGCAGAACAAACATCACAATTTCCTCTGTTTCCACTGTTCCTGAGTTACAATATTCAATATGTCCAGAAAAGTGGATTCACAGTTTATTAGGATGTCACAGTGAAGTCAACTTTTGACATTTTGCTTATAAAATTACATCACTTCATTATTTCATCCTATTAGATATTTGTTTGAAATGTAGATTATTCAGTTAAAGGCACAGTGTGTAGAATTGTGTGATCAGTGATTTAGTGTTAAAATTGCGTGTTGCAGCTGAACACCCCTCACCTCAGCCTCTCCTTCCAAACATGAAGAAGAAACTGTGGTAGCTTCAGTTGTCATAAAAACTCAAAAGGTGTTTAGTTTGTCCAGTCTGGACTAATTTAAAAAACATGACGGCCTCTGTAGAGAGGACCCCCTCAATTTAAATATAAAGGACCTTTTCCGGGGATTATTCTACATTAAATTTCTGCCAATAGTTCCCTTTCATCTAAATCTTACACACTGGACCTTTAAGGCCACAAATACGTTTTGGAAAGTTACAGGAATCTTTCACATGACCAGCAAATTCTGATCAATTTAGAACATTCAAGAAATGTCCTCAAGCAGCTCCTGAGATATAGCGTTCATGAGAATGCATTGGATGGATGGCTCCAAACATGACTGTTGCCAGGGTGGAGGCATAAAAGCCGTCACTCAGTTTGGTAATGAGAGCAGATGTCGTGATGGAGGAGCCACGTTTAGCCTGCATTTGAATCACAAATAGAGATAAAACAATGAGCCTATTTACTGTTTAGTCTAGTGACAGAAAATCAACCGACTGCCATTTGGATGAACAATAATTATCTGTGTCAGTTGGTTAAATTAAAGTCGGGTTTGCTGCATTTTATGTCATGTTAAATGGGGTTGGGGATTTTTGTCAGACAAGGCATCCTTATATTTTACTATGGGCTCTGGGAGCTTGTCCTGGATATT